GTTATGAAAGATCACACACTAATAAATAACTAGTTAAACTTTTATCTTGGTATTCACAAAGCTCATTTAACAACTTTACTATTACTCAGCAAATGACAAAATTAGCACTTTAATGAGTTCAACAATCGCTCATTTTTTCAGTCACGTTTACTTCAATGTGACCAATTACATGTGTTCATGAAACATTATGTCATTTAGCTGACATAGTTGTCGTTCTATCATAAAAATGAAAAAAGTAACAGAAAGAGCATCGAAACACGAGGTTTTGTACGGGGGGGGGGGGGGCGTAGCGTTCTTTCTTTAGGCATAAATTAAAACACCTTGCCTTTTGTCACAATATGAAACATGAAAAAAGTAACCAAATGTACGAGCAACTGAATATAACTTTTCTATCATTATCCCTTTCCTTGTTGACACAAACAAAAATTGAGCCAATCAAAGAGCATGCTACTCTATTTATATATCTGACAGATAGTGCGATAACTAGAGTGTGGGTAACTTATACCTACTCTCCAGCATGTATGGGCATACGATTTAAGTCTTGTTTCATTGCAATAGAACGGTATCCAAACTATGATACAAAGAAAATGTACCTTATAGTAAGTCTTCATGTCAGGCAACGGACATATTTAGGGACTTTACAACTTTTCTCTGTCGCGCTCTCTGGCGTGTTTTTTTTCCATGTCTGGCAGCCACATTTAACGTGCCACACATAAGGAATATCTTACAATGTAAAATTACTTAATAAACTAAAATAAATATAATATTCAGAAGTCAAAAAATGAAATAAAGGACATTTATGACGGCGGAGTAATGATTGTGTTTCATGCGCATTGATTTTCAATTTTAACGTTTTATAATTAGTTATAAAGATTTTGACAGGTTATATGGCCTTAAATAAACGATTGTTTTGAAATATAACTCGAACTGCTAGGCGAGGGTTATATTGCAAACAACCGTTTCATACAACCATATAACCTGTCAGGAATATTAAGCAAACTTCCCTTTTTTGAGAAAAAAAGTGAGATTTCTTAGAAACTTTACAGCAGCAGTGTAAATAAAGTATATTTATGTCACGATTATCCAATGAAATGCGACGTTACAAATGTCTAGTATTATAATAAACAGATGACTTTACCTTCCATTCAATTCTGATTATTAAAACGAACGCCTGGAGTGATGGAAACTTAACTATGTCACGTTGACATGTGTTCTTGGAAGGGATATTGTTCCAACGAAAACAATACTATTAAAAAAATTACTATAAGAATAATTGCAAACATAACATTTTCACTCGTTACTAATTTTTATGATAATGAAATAAATGCTCTAACGGTAATAAAATTATGAACAACATTTCTCATGTTTCAACTCTTTACGGTAAAGCGATTAACGGAAGTATTTTTATGACCTATATTTACCTGGTGAGCAGGAAGGAGAAGAAAAAACTATTAATTCTCAAATCAAATGCCAGGTCGTTAAGAAAATCAGAACGCGTACAAATGGATTTATTTGTACATCACACTGTCTAGATTACTAAAGATAATAGTGCTAATTAATTCTGGTAAATTCTAAAAATTATAAATTATTAAAAGAAAGTACGTTTTAAATGCAAATTAATACATGTTTACAGGCTGTTTTATGTTGTTGTTGTTTTGCAATGACTAAAATTTCATTTGTTTTTTTATTATTAATAATTATTGTAAAAGTTCTCTTTTTTATTTATATTAAGTGATTATAAATACGGAATCGTCCTGGCTCCAATTTAAATTGTTCTGTAAAAGAAAAATTACCCCTATGTAAGAGATAAAAATGCCTTATTAGTAGTTTTTAACTCCTACGAAGTACTTTATAACTTGTAGCAAATATATTTGTGCACATAGACGTTTTTTTGTCCAAATATGTATGTATACGACTGGTTTTGGTACGATCAGATTATTCTACAATTTAAAGGTTGTTATTATTGTTGACATTTATCTTGTTGATGAATATGGAAACAGACATGACAAAGTGTGTGGATATTTATTGTTTTCAAATGTAGTTTCCCTTTTTAAAAACCTATAAAAACCGAGTAAAAGTTACTTCCCCCTAACCTAGCAAACACTATATGTACTTGATGACTGCTATAAGCATGAAACTGTCAAGAAATGCGTAATACTTAATACGTTGATTCCTCTATCGTTTATTAATTTCGCTCTGGTTTACCATAGAGTACTGTGTCTGTGGTTCTTGCTACCAAAGGTTACCTGTTTTTGACAGCTCTTTAATTTGTGATTTTGCTTTTTGTCTGTGTTGCTGACAGCATTGAACTCGCAGATACTTGTAACTGCTCATATAATTCTGCAACCATTAATTATAGAATTATTTTTCCTGTTTCTTAGCATTTTGTTATAGGAATTATTATTTTTTTATCCCGTCAGTAGATTTCCTTGTTGCTGAAAAAAAATTCTTCAAATTCTATGCAGTTTTGATATCCAAGTGCAAATCAGAAATTCCTTTGACAATCATGGTATATGTCTGATACTTCAACTTGGATTTGATATTGAATAGGACAAAATGAAACTTACAGCAATTTTTGTTCTATGGTGACAATATTTATATTTAAATTTTAATTAGAACAATAAAGAATTTATAAATTATAAAGAATTATAATACAAAGGAACTATTAAGAGAATATCTTTTTTGAAAATTTGCATTTCAAATATGCCACAAACCAAATTTGTTTGTATGCATTGTTGTTGTATATGTTCATTTTGATTGTTGAATAGATAAATTAACGTGAAACGTCTTCTTGGTGTCTTTTTTTAATAAAATAATTTCTAATAAACGCAAATGAAATAATGAATGGTTTTCTCTCTCAATGACTGGCTGCATTGTAGAACGCTCTTTGGAACATTTCTTCTTTCATCTTACTAAAAATATATATACAGTAATTATGACCGTCATACACAATTATCCCTTTGCATTGCATGCACTCTATTTATTCAAACAAACTATACAACATTCAACAAATATTTGAAGTAAACATGTTCTTATCGACGTTATTCGTCACTGTCCTACGCCAGTATTTCCGTATCGTACCATTTTTAACCTCGCTTAAAAAGGTTGCGAAATGCTATGCGTTTGAGTCCTTGCACATCAACTATAATTGTTCTGATTATAAATAATTTGTGACTTAAATGTACATAATATCTCAGAAATGATTTTTGTTAAAATGAATACAGAACATGAAATATTTTCGATGCTTATTCATCTAAGAAAAACAGCGCTGATTGAAAACCAACTTGACATAACGAAAGAAAAATTATATTTAATAAAAAAAAAAAAGTAATATTTTGACTTAAATACAAAATGCCACATCAAGAAAAAAACCAGATTAAACATTTTGCAAAATGAACCACTTACATATGTAAATTAAAACACCGAAAAACTAAAAACCTGTAACAGTTCACCCAAAATCATAAAACTTTTTAGTAATAACATTTGAATTAACCGGGCCTTTAAAGAATAGGAAGGATATTTCTGTAGTAAACAGTTAAGAAAATCGAGCAGATAAATAAATTGTTTTATGATGAATTTAATGTGCATCGCTGGCATTACCCCGATCATTTCTTTGAGTATTTGCAAACAAGTTTAAAGAAAATTACATTCAATAATCTGGAAAAGAAACGAAATCCACTCAAGAGTTGACAGGTTTTAAATAAAAACGTTTTTGATCTTGAGAATGCATCAAAAACATTAGCCTTTAAACGAAAATGAACTATTTTTGTACGGAATCTCATTCAGTTTTAAAGTTTTCTTGAAACACTGTTAAGATTATTTTCTCTAAACAGATTACCACCTAGGATTTTTCATATTATTTTCATTTTCTAGATTTCCTTTTATCTTAACATCGGGAATTCATTGGCGATCTGGGATATAAAAGCGAATATGTAAAATTATTCATTGATAGACCTATTTTTTCTAGAATGCTGCATTTATTTTATAAAATGGCTTTGCAATTCGAAAATTTATATCCGAACATTTTTGTAAGATAATTTACACATCATTATGTATGTGAAGAGAACATAGTTACTAAGATTTAAGATGTATACTTCATTGAACGCCGCCTTTCCTTGTTGATCTTGTTTTTCATATTTTATAGAGTTATAGTTAACAAAACACATATTTCAGGCTTTGAAATGGATAAACAGGTATGTGAAATTATGTTATTATTAAGTAACTATGTAAGTAAGAAAATAATTCATGACGGCATATGATATATATAATTGTGTCTTATAATGTGCCATTTTCTGATCACGTGGTGCTCTTTGCAGATATTTAAAGGCACATTTAGTTTCAGAAATTAATATTTCTTTATGCTGTAAAAATGGTAAATTTAATCAGTCATTTTGGTTTGTGTTAAATTATGTAAACTTTGCTGGTTAAGTATTAACCTTTGTTTTAACAGTAGTACTGTATTATTGTACATATAAAGTGTTTGGTCAGTAATTATTGCCATTTGGCTTATGAAAACTTATTAGAAACCTGTTGATCTCACTCGGAAACATCACTATTGACACGTCATTCGTAGTTTTTGTTTATTTCGTAAATATCGCGCTGGGAATTTCACTGTTTTATCATTAATTATAAGGATTTCGTAAAACCTGTAAAATACGAGACACGAACACGCTTTTTTTTCAATGTCACTGGAATTAGCATTACAGCAAAGATTTCAGTTACAAATGTAATTGCTGTTCATTTCTTGATATTTTTGTAAATGCATTTTATTATAATTATTTGAAAACAACTTGTTGTAACAAACCACTAGCAAACGGAAAATGCTAACATTTAGTTATAAAGAAACGCGAAGTATAACCATTCCCGAAATTCCTATTGTTTAAAATACTAATTTAACCGTTTATTCAGAAAGAAATAAGGATTTCTTTGAATTTATACTTCGATATATACAAAAGTCATTAGAAAACATTTTACAATTTGGTAAAGAGAATTTATTCCAGTTTTTAAATACACATTATTGTTTGCATGAATAAAGCATGAAAACGAAACGTAATTAAAGTCTCTAAAAAGGGAAATTTGTCAAATGTAAGTAATTTGCGTAAAACATTCTGAAAGCGTTTTGTCTAAAGTATAGATACAAGTTGAAGAGGATTTTGTCGTAAATAATTTTAAACACAACTCCTACCAATTTTCAAAACTCATTTTTAAAAGATAAAAGTTAACTAAAAGTCGAAACCAAATAATCTTAACAAATGTAATCATTTACGCCATTTAAACGTATACACTCACTTTTTATAAGTTAATAAATTACATCAATTAGTTCACATGCTACCTAACTACATTCGAAATAACTCTTCTCGCGTACTTCTTGCCGTAAACGTTCTTTTGATGCTGGTATTCCGTTTTCTAATAAGTCTTTCAAATTCAAAACGGAACCGTTTCCCAGACAAAACATAAATGAAAAAGTTTACTGCATAATTCAATAGCGATATTGCAGCACAAACGTCAATGTATGGAGTAAGTGCAAGGTACACGTATCTCTTTGTTTCCATATTTCCAAATTTTATTGTTAAATCCATGACAAGACTGAGTGTAAACAATGGCAGAAGTGTCAAGATATAGGTGAAGGTCACTGTTAACAGCATCATCGTGCTACGGTTATTTCTCCCTCTTCCGCCACTCTCCCTTCGTGTTAGACTCCTTTCATCTTTATTGACGGCTTTCTTTACTTTAAATATTTGGTAAATCACCATACTGTTACACGTAATTATTAAGATCAACGGTATCACAAAAATCAGACCCCACTGAAAGAAATACACGTCAAGACTTGTATACAGTCGAATATAATCATCGCCAGCCAGACAATCCGATATGTTGAAGTAGGGATCATATACAAGATGTTCAATCATAATGAAACGGAAAGATTGACTGAATAGAACGACGACTATTAGAATAGCAATTGCAGTAAGCGCCCCTGTTTGTTTACGAATTGCTGCACTTTTAAACGGAAAGCACACAGCTATAAGCCTTTCTAGAGCCATAAAAACAACAAGCCACGAGCTCATCATTGTGATGACATGTGACATATAATTGTAGAATTTACAACTAGAGTCATCGAAATTTTGAAATATCCCAGGTTTTGCTTTGTGTGATACAAAGTATTCATCTACACATTCCACCTGGCGGATGATCAGTGAAATTGTGTCAAACACTGCAAGAGCACACAAAAAATGAGAATATGACTTTTGACGCAAAGGCTTTGTCTTCATCACCATAATTGATAAGCTGTTACCAATTACTCCCACGAAAACAACAATTGGTGTTGATATAAATTTTACCCAGAATCCCCACTCGGATATAAAAGGACCTTCCATATCTAAAATAAGAAAATACAACTTTTGGTTAGACATAATACGAATAGATAAAATAAAATACTAATATCAACAGACAAAGTAGTTTAAGTCATATTCCGCGTCGTATGATACATAGAGGATATTTGTTTGTTTTGCATGTAAGATTGAAATATAATTTCACTGAGTGAACACCAGTTGCAATAAAATTCACGAGTGGCGTAGCCATGAGTGAAAATATAATAGCTGGTGTTCACGAATGAAATATATTTCAAATTTATATGTAAAACAAATAAATGTTCTTTTTATTTCATGCTTTTAAGTGATTTTAACTATGTTTTTACTGATTTTGCCGTGTAACGTCGTGCATTCTCTTTTGTGACGTCATCACATCATGACGTCACATCACCAATTTTGAAATATAGTTCTGTTAAATTTCTCTTATTTTGTTACATTTTAACATGATGTATGGTGACATCGACTTTCTTTTCCTAAAAGAAACAAAATTTACGAATGACATCATTTATTTCTGCCTGTTATTCCATTTAGTTATGATTCTCTTTTCATCCGCATTTAGATATAATCCGGCTACAGTGAAAATTATATTTTATAAATTTCACTTGTGGTTTATCAGAATATAATCATCTGTTATATTACAATAAAACACTGGAAAGCATGAAATAACAAATCAATTTATGAAGTTTTTAGTGTTATGTACCTCATAATATTGTAACAAGTTATGATACAAAGTCCACAATATTCAGCTCACAGATAAACCTTTTTGAGATATAATGACCCTATGCAATGTTTTGTGTCACACAAGTATGTTATTATAATATAGTATTCAAGTGTATTTATTGTTTGCGCATTTAGGCTCATAGTAACTTATTTTAAAAGGCAAGCCATATGACTTAAATTTTGTTAGTGCGCCGTTAAACCAAACAAAATAAAGACAGAAAATTACATATCAAATATGACTAATTTAACAAAAAGAACAAAATGTGTGTATTAATTACTTAAACCTTTGCATACTTTTTCAAAAATATTGTCAAAAATTTCTTAAAATGTTGATGTAAAATAGAGAAAATATAGAATCCCTTAAAAACCCTAAAACGCCAAAATTATGAAAAAAGTTGCAGACTCGGTTAGATTGAACAAAATCATTGACAGTTGTGGTATATGCAAGCTGCCACACAAGCCCTCTAGCTCCGGCTTGAGCTGAATTTGGCTTTCAAACATTGAATGTCGATATTTTGAAATTAGAAAAATGCAGATGTGCTCTACTTAATATTTGCTTTTTCTTTTGAAACTATCAATCCTTAACTAATGAAAGGCCGAAACTGAATATCACACCTGCTTGATTATTATACCTTCATTAATATACTTTCATGTCAATTTCGTTTTGAACATAACAAAACGGAAACAAGAAGGTCATTATTGTGTTATGAATAGCTTTTGTTTCCTAAGCAATAAAGCGCTAAAATTTAATAACACACAAATAGATACCGATGAACATTAATGTGACCAATTCCGATTTGATCACACAATCATGCAAAGATCTATATAAATCTACCATGATAGTAATATTTAGTTGCAATAAAATACCAATGGTTGATATATTCCTGTAAAATACCTGTTTTTATTTTACAAAAGCCATAAAACATTGAAAGAACTTATCAACAATTCCTTATTGCAAGGTACTTTCCTTTTAAGATCCTTTACAAGCAAAATGAACACATATTGCTTAGGGTGTCTCCATGTCTGTTTGACACAAAACTTTTGCAGTTAATGGTAAATATTAACGTGACCACATAATAGTGTATTCACCTTGGCCACAAAATGTAAAAGCTTTCATTAAAGTTTTTAAACTCACATTCATAAGCCCTATGTCACCTATTTATTTAACTTACAAAATATGTCAATTATAGTGTCAGTGAATACGTACTCTCAGCACTCTTTTTCAGAGAAATTCTCCTTATCTTTTGTGAAAAGAACACCTAACATAGTAACCTCTGCTTAAAGTGAAGTCTTATCACTCGACTGTTAAAGTATTGATAAACGCATGTTTTCTGGAGATAGGAGTTTTCTCAGAAATGATACTTTTAAAACGACCATATTTTATTCAAAGTCATAAACAAGAACAGCGTCTCAAAGAATCAGGATTAAAGAGATCACGTGAATTTCAGGTTCGCTTTGTTATGGTTAAATTAAAACATCACAGACCAAGATCCTTAAGAACAACGCTAAATCCATATGCTTCCGACTATAGCAAGACAATATACAGTATTGACCAATTTCTTCACAAATTTTGTAGAAATAAATTACAACTAATTAGTTTTTTTACATGTAGTATTTGTTTGTTCAAAACCAAAACTAAATGATATATTTATATCATATTTTATAGTGTATCTTAACATTCAGTGTAGAACTCAAATATGTGAATATTACCGTTGTAATTGGAGATATTTGCTCCGTCGGTGCAAGATTCATTTGAAGCGTTCCAACAAGCCATTTTCCAATGGTAAATCTTCTTGTCTAGGTAGTCTCCTGAAAGGGGAGAAACAATTATAAAAACAATTCTTATGTCAAGAGATATCTTGAAAGTATCAAGACAAAATCAAAATAAATTGTTTGCACATTTTGTATAATAAAGAAACAACTTTCCCGAATAGTATCTATCACTTGGGTGTTGAAAATGATGGAAAGAAAACTAAAACTACACACTGAGTTTGAGACTTGTCAAACATTCAAATAATCATATCCAATGCAAAGCGTGCGATTTATCACCAAGAACACTAAACATATTATGAAGTAAGTTGCTAAAAGGTTAAAAGATAATTAAATGTGGTCAATTTATTTCATGTTATTAAAATATAGAAACAACAATTATTGCAATGGACGTCTAAATGGGGAAAAACAATATTGTTGAAAATATATCGATGCCTACACCACGTGACATTTAAAAAACTTTTTAAAATTTATTTTTATGATTGTGATAAAACGTCGAGTCTGCTCAGCTTAGTAATTAACCCAAACGTTTATTAAGAAATATTCTTGGGGGTAAAATTAATATTTATTTCGTAAAATAAAAATAATGTGTTTGATAAATTAGAAATTCACATGATGTGCATTTTTATCATTTTTTCTTGACTTTTTTAAATCTGCATTAAACAGATTTCATAAAAAAGCAATAGCTCAATTTCGTTAATTAAATTTGGTTCATATCGACTCTCGTTCTTATTTTGGTGTCCAGACATTCAAAATGAATTTTATAAGCCTACAATTTTGCAACCTCATCGTGGCGAAATCGGAAGTACCATTTCTATTTGCTCAAGAAACTCCGCCTCTTGGTCATCCGTATATCAGTGGAAAATCATTTAAAACATTTTTAAGTAGCAGTCCAAATTTAACGGTATATTTCCGCATTAAATTATTTTCATACAAATCCGATCAATATTTTATTTTGTTCACGACAGGGATATAGTCTGATTTTATTGACCTTTCAATTATGAATACATCATAGCACTTATTTAAATATTCGATTCCTCTGCGGTTCTGTCCGAATAGTTTAAAAGATTTAATATGGAGTATATGTATCTAATGTTTGGAAAATTCGCAATAGTGTTATGTATATGTTCTCATCACATCCGCAATAGCACAGTCGGTTAAGTGATTACCTCATGTATGAGAGGTCAGTGGTTCGATCCCTACTTTTTTGTCAGTATTTTTAAACCTTTTCATTCTTGATTTTTACGTATATTTTTATGAAAATGGCCAAGCGCTTGCAACGTTGTCTACACAGATATAAAACAACTTATAAACACTGAATTGTCTCGTTTTGTATTGTATGTTACAGCACTGAAATGACATTAATTAATTTTAAGCCGAATAAATTTTAAATATTTATTCTCAAACGGGGAAAAGTCTTTACCAAATTCTCCAACAAGGAAAAGTTTTTACAAAAATAAGTGCAAAACATATAAAAACAAGGACTTAAAAACATAAAATAGCTTCAAAATGTTGAAAATAGTTATAAATAAAAAAATATATTGACATACGCGGTCTCAATCTTAAAACACGTAGGACATTTAGAAATTATAAAACTGCAGTTTATCCTATTGCGCTATAACGATAGTGTAATTGTTTCGTTGAAAATTTGAATTTAATCACATCTTACTACTCACATTTCACGAAATTTACCGAACATATATTATAATTTACCGTAGATTAATAAATTCTGTGCATTGACCGTATAATCAGTATGCAATTGACAGGTTAATAAAATCAGACAATAATGCACCTTGAAACTAAAACGGTAAAAGTTTGTTTGCACAAGAATGTCTCATATTTTTGGTTGGATCCACATAGTAACAATTGATATTACTGCTGTGACGTGGCTAATAATATAGTTTTCATTTGCGTGTTAAAATTCGTATACGAATTGTAGTATTTTACGCGGAGCTTTTCTTTTAAAATCATATCTTATTATGAACAATGTTTAATGAGATTTACAACAATACTCAGTCTGTCAAAAATGATAACGAAACAATAGAATGCTCGGTTTTGAAGCCGGCGGAAAAATATGTTTACATATTCATTTAATGTAGCTTTAATCTTAAGCTGATCATAAAATAAAACAATTTTTGATTAATGTTCCTTTGAATATGATATTCACTGACGACCTAAGCTATCGCCTTAGTCAATATGGCATTTATCGGTGAATAACACATCACTGGTCAAATGTTGTATGATAACAGCTGTTACAATTTGCTACAAACATATTTTCATGTCTGTAATTTAGGTATCTTCAAAATGTATTCAAGAAAACAAAAGGTCTGCGTGGTATCTCGTTAACAATAATTACTTAGATTAAAAACGTTATTCAAGATAACATATAATGTAATGGATACACCAGACATAAACGAAATTCCTTACGTCTAACATATCAGTCCCGTAAAAATAATATAATGCCCCGTGATTTATTTAGTTAAAAACAGTTTTAAAGAACAAAAAAGACATAAGACTATGTATTCCGGTAATTTGGTATCTGTTTTAAGATTCCTAGACTTAAAATGTTTCGGACTTCTCGTATCATTCCCCGGTTGAAAGAAAAAACAGCATAGGTAATGTTTTATATTACATTTTCTATTCTTAAGCACTGTAAATAATTATATAATTATATGTTTTTCATATTTAACATAAAATTCATTCAAATTAAAATTTACTTTTTGTTTTTTCAAACATATCCGTGTGCATACACTGCCAATTTAAACAAAAAATGCAAGGATAAGACCTGTATAAGCATCAGCTGTCAGTTCCGATCATTTTTTCGTGCATCTCATGTGTTGTCAAGTTTTATTTGTATTTACTTACTGAATCATATTATCCTTATACATGTATCTAAATCCACGAAAAAAATTAAATTGGTTGAGCAAGACAAAATATGTTATTTGAAACATAAAGCAACCTTGACTTCAATATGATATGCAGCGATTGATGTGTATCGTCTTGCTGGCATATATAGTTGCAATTTATATCACAGTATTTTGTTGAATCTTTAACGTTAACTAATAAACTAGTTTACAATACACGCATTTGAATGAAACATAGTATGTATTTACTTTTTTAACTTTGATAAAAGTAAGTTTACAAACCTTGTTTTTCATTTCCATTTAATTTTGAAAAGATAATTATATAATTTGATAAATTATAAAAAATAACGTTTTTTTAAATAATTGTATCTATGTTATGTTCTTTTTTCACATGTTATCTAAATCAATACCATGATTTATTTTACATGTTTCGTACGAATAATCTAAATCATTTTCCGTAAACATTATAATAATAACTAAATTATCTGAGTTGTACAAACTCCTTTGAATCATTGTTTTGGTCATCTAACATTTAAAAACTTTATTTCCATTACAGCATTCGACTAATTTGTAAAAGTCTAAACATATTTTCAATACCTTTGCATTAAAATGCATCTTGCATTTGATTATGTAAAATCCTATATATTCAATACACCTTCATTGCGAACAGTATGAATGCAACTATTTTTCAAAAGTGATAAGCTGCCTTAGAAACGATATCACATTCCTGACTCTTTACCCTAGTATATTCTGCCTAGAGAAAACCCAATAATAGATCAAGACTGTTTCT